CCAGACCGCAGCTCTAAGAGTTAGAGCACGAGGTCCTCAGGTCGCAGCACCTGTCCTGCGCCCACTCCAGGACCCTGTCCCCTCGCTTCCTCCGCAGGGACAGGTGGGCGGCCAGCACAAGCTCCCGCTGGGGGAGCCCCTCATCCCGCCGCCTGGGGGGCCGAGCGGGGGCGCTGGGCGGCGCGGGGCGCCCCCCGGGGCTGCGAGCGCGGCTCCTGGGCTCTGGAAGGAGCCGCGGGGCCTGGAAGACATTACACGGCTGTCGGCCGGGGGGCGTCGCGCGGAGTTCCGGAGGGGGTCCCGGCGGCGGACGCGCCGGCGAGGGGACGGCCCCGCCACAAAGCGCGCTTTGTTCCGCGCTCCCGCCGGGAGCTGGAACCAATGGATTGGCGGCGGCTGAGGTCATCTGTCAGGCAGCGCCGGGGGTCAGGCCCGGGGAGGGGGCCGCGCGGAGGGCGGGGCGGCCGGCGGCCGGGGCGTGTGTGCGGCCGGTTAGCCAGGCTGCGCTCCAGAGGGCCTCTGCGGCAGGTCGCTGCCTGCTTCGGGCCTCAGTTTACCCATCTGTCCAGCAGGAAGGATGATTTCTGCCCTCTCCAGCTCTCGGGACCACTGTATCAAGTTAGGAAGCGATGATGGTGATGATGATGGTGATGGTGATGGTGGTGATGATGGCGGCCTATCTGTAATGAGCCGTCCCTGCCTTCCTGCTCTGTGGAAGTGCTAGAGTCGGGAGTAGAAACCCTAAAGGCTGGATTGGAGCATGGAAGGAAATGTGGTTTGCACCGCGCAGTGCATGTGTGTATGAGAGCTCGCGGGGACGCCTTGCAGCCCCCTTCTAGCCCAGGGGAGTCGGAGCCTCTTCCTGGTTCCCTGCGTCCACCCTGGATGCCAGACATGGCTTGTGTTTTGCCACGGCTGACAGGTGGAGCTGCCCAGCCCTGAGTCCAGCGACCCCTTGGAGCCCCTCCCTGGGACCCCGGGTCCAAGGTAGAGCAGGGCTGGACCTCCTGCCCCTCACATAGGTATTTTTGTGACGGGAGACAGATCAAGGTCTGAACACTCTCCTCTAGTCCCATAAAACTAGATCCCATTTATTCATTCACACCCCATCTATGTGTGCCTCAGGGCTCCATCCATACAATGAAATAATTAGGCTTCTATACACTCAATGCAGGGTCCTCTAGCGGGGCGGGGGGGTGGTGAGGCCATCAAGTCTGGGGAGCCCCGAAATTGTCCAAAATATGTGTGTGTGTTTCTGGAGAAAGGGCTCATGGCTTTCTTTGGATTCTCAGCTATGTTCATGACCCAAACAAGGTTAAGAGGCACTGGCCAAGTATGGGTAAGGAAAGCAGCCCCCAAACTCTGCAGGAGAGAAAGACGCTTGGAACAGCCCCTCAGGAGAGCAATTTGCCGAGACCTTAGAAGCTGGAAAGTGAGCTCCGTATGGACCAGGCAGCCCCGCTGCTGGGTATAGAGTTGAGAGAGCACAGAGACCTACGGAGGAAGGTGTTCCCAGCAGCAAATAATCGTAACCCCCGCAACATCCATGAACAGAATGACTAAGAAATGGTTGTATTCAGACCCTGGAACGCCATGCAGCAATTAAAAGAATGAGCTAGACCTACATGGAATTTATTCATTCAAAAGACATTTATTGAACCCCTACCATGTACCAGGCACAGTTTTTGGCACTGGGCCTACAGTGATAAACAACACAGATCAATTCCTGCCTCAAGAACTCATTCGAGTGGGTAAGACAGACATAAACAGACAGATCATTTCAAAGTGTGATAAATGCCCTGAAGAAAATAAAACTGAGTGCGGTGACAGAATGATGGGCGAGGGGGCTGTTTTAGACAGTATGGTCAGGGAAGGCCCCTCTGGGGAAGTGACCAGAATGAGGAGACTCTGGGAGAAGAGCAAAGACACGAATGGGGTAGATGGCCAGGGCACACTGCCAGGGAAGAAATGTGATCTGCAAAATAATGTGAAAAGGAAAAGCCTTCTGTACTTACACACACACACACACCCACAAAGTTAGGAAAAGGTCTGGAAGGGTATGCGCCAAATTCATGAAGGCAGTTGCCCCAAGGAGGGAGGGACTGGGCTCATGGTGGGCTGCAGCTGGCCTCTAATATTTTACTTTTTTCTTAATGTATTAAAGGTGAATATACTTCCATATAACTTGTGAAATTAAAAAAGTTTTAAGTCTGCCATGATGCAGGTGGTGGATTCCAGGGCAGTGAGAAGCCTAAGGGGTCCCCACACATTGCCTCTTATTAGACCCAAGCTCCTGGGGGGCAGTGGTTTGTCTGCAGAGGGGACACACAGTTGGACTGGGGAGCCCGGAAGGGGCATGTGGTCAGCCTGGAGGATCTGGAAGCCTCTTGGAGGAGGTGCCCCCTTTGCTGAGCCTGAGAGCATCTGGCCCAGCATCCCCAGCGTAGACTAGACGACAGGCCCGGAGAGGCCGTGATGTGCACAAGGCCATAGAGCAAGAGTGGACGGCATAAGTAGAACCTGAAACTCCAGGCTCCCAGCCAGGTCTCTTTCTTGTGCTTGAACCCCCGGCTTCTCTGAGCAACTGATGCATCCCGCTGACAGCCAGGCCCCTCCATCCACCCACTTCCCACGACAGTTGCTCTGCTCGGCAGACCGGAAAGCAGCGCCACCTGCTGGCGTAAATGGGAAACGCAGCTCTCAGCCTCGGCCGAGAGCAACCTGCAGGTTTCACCCTTCAAAACCCAGCTCCTCTTTCTTAAGAATGACCACCCCCCGCCCCCACTCCAAGTCTGTTCTGCAGCCCCTCCCAGAGCCTAGCAGGACCCCCAGCGCTGCCTGCTTGGGTCTTATCTGCAAGAAGGAAAAGCCCTTTCAGGAAGGGGCAACCACTCTGTCGCCCTAGCCCAGCAGGTGCAGGAGGCAATTACGCCAGGCAGCGGCACCTCACGACAGCAGTTTACAAAGCATGTCTTCAGCTTTCTGACCCTCGCTACAAACTTTATGGGTAGACTGTCCATTTGACAGCTTGTAAAATGCCTCCAGGGAGGGGCTTGTCCAATGTCACACGGTGAATGGCTGTACAAGCTGGCCCCAGAGCACGGATCTCCCGGGACCCAGCCCAGTGGGGGTGCAGGGTGTCACCATATTTGAAAATAACTGAGGCAGACTAGATCTGGGGTTCTCAGCTTGTAGCCCCTGAACGGCAGCAGCAGCATCACCTTCGAACTTGTCAGAAAAGCAATCATCAGGCTCCATCCCAGACGCCCTGAGTCAGCAACTCGGGGGGTGGGGCCCAGCCTTGTGTGTTTTAGCAAACCCCTTTGAGGAGCTAAACCATTGGTCTAAAGTAATTACACCCCTCTTTCTAGTAAATAAACTTTTATTTGGGAATGATTTTCAACTTACAGAAAAACTGCAAAGATAATACAGGGAGTTCCCATGTACCCTGCACGCAGCCTACCCCAATTGTCAACGCTGGTATATGATTAACTGAAATCCAGACCTTATTCAGACTTCCAGCTTTTCCACCAATGCCTTTCCTTTGTTCCAAGACCCAGTCCAGGCTATCACACTGTATTCACTACTACATTCCTTTCAAATGCTATTGGTTACCTCAGTCTTCCCTCCCTGGGACAGAGAATGGATGGGAAAGCTGTTGTCTTCATTACCGAGCTGAGAAACTGAGGCTTGAAAACACCAAGTGACTGAGTTCCCTTAGCTGGGCAGTGAGAGCAAGGCCCGCCTCACTCTGCACCCTTCCTCTGCCTCTTCCCTTTCCCCAGGACCCCGGGGATTCAGAAGTCCCTTTGGAATGTCCCACCTGGTCTACTCCCCGTCTCCCAGTGCAGACAATGCGAGATGCCCCCACTAGAGTGGGAGAGACACACCCCCTGCCCCATCACTTCTTCCTCTAGACTTGAGGCCAGGACAATGTCTTAGTGACTGCAGCCTGGGCAGAGCAAGGCCCTGTGCAAAGGAGAGAGAAAGGGAAACAGAGAGAGAAACACTGTTATTTGCCTGTGCAAAGTCATTTGGGATAGATGAAAAATGCCACAAATTCTTTGTAGTTTCTCCTATTAGGAGGTATAGACTGTCTCCCCACCCCCTGAATCTGGGTCGGCCTCACAATTTTCCCTGACCAAAGGAACTTAGCAGAATTGATGTACCAATTCTGGGCCTAGAACTCAAAAGTTCTTGCAGCTTCTACCCTCGCTCTCTCGGAACCCTGAGGCCATCACGTGAATAAGCCTGAGCTGACCTGCTGGAGAGGCCACGTGCAGAACCAAGTCACCCAGCCAACGGCCTGCCAACTGCGAACAAGTAAGGCTATCCTAGACCATCTGGCCCTAGCTAAAGTGACAGCTGATGGCATGCGGCCCCATGAGTGACCCCAGGCAAGATCAGCAGAACCGTCCAGATAAGCTCAGCCCAAACTGCCAAACCACAGAATTATGGGCAAATAAATAACTTGTTTTTAGCTGCTAAGTTTTGGGATGGTTTGTTACACAGCAAAGGCTAACTAACACATAATTGCTCATTTCTCTCTTAGCAATGTGATTCCAATTTTACTTCAGGAGGCAGTGTGCCAGAACCAGGAGATGGGATATGACTGGTCTACTCAATCGTGACAATTCTGTTCCCTGCTGTCTTAGCTTTCTTTGCAGCTAGGGGTGGCAACGGTAGCTGGTTTGGGCCATGGAAATATGCAGGGGGAGAGAGCAGGAAACAGGCCTCTGAAAAACGTTTGACTTGATCGTAGAAGTTGACAGGTCCAGCTGGCTTGGCCCCTCTTCCTCCCCTACTCCTTTCTTCCTTGATCACAGACATGATTCCTGGAGGTACAGCAGCCATCCTGTGACCATGAGGTAACAAGCAATGAGGGAAAGGCTAAAAAGATAACAGAGATGTGAGCCCTCCTTTGCTGAGTTGTTAAACCAACACCATTAGCCACCTGTCTCCAGAATCCATGCTGTGTGGAGAAACAAACTTCTCTTGGTTTAAGCCGCTGTAACCTAGGTTTTCCTTTACTTGCAGCTGAATGTATTCCACATAATGGGACATATAAAGACAAAAATGCAGAAGGATCCTTGTCTTTGGGAATCTGAGCCAGCAGCATGTGGCTCTCCTTTCTCGGGTCATCCTCTCAATAATCCCTCAAGATCAAGCCCATGACCCCATTTTCACAGAGGTGGGAACTGAGGCTCCCACACTGTTCAGTTGTGAGTCCAAGGTTGTGCAGCTTGGGGTGCAGACCCTCCCCCCAGGCTCAAAGAGAAGGCACCCCTGCTACACCTTCTGCATGGCCCGGCCCACTGGAGGCCAACGTGTCCTCTGGGCTCTTGGAGCAGTGCCAGGGGCCAAGGAGGCTGCTACTGCAAGTCCGGCATGGAAGCACCCAGGTACACCCTTAGGTCCGAGAGGGTAGACTGGACGAGCTTCGCAGGGATGGTCTCTCGCTGCAGCTGCTGGTAGGCCGCATAGCGGTGGCAGCCCCCGAAGGAGTAGAAGTAGTCACCACCCTGGGCCCCTTTGATCCAGAGGACGTCAATGGGGGGCACGCTGTCTGGGTCCTCCTGGAGGGAAGAGGCAGAGGGTGAAGGAGTGTGGTCAGCAAAGCAGATTGTCTTAACCTTGTCGAGCTCCTACAAGGTGCTCGCCCTGGCTCACGCTGGCTCGTGAGAGACAACTGTCAAGTATACAGGAATTTTGTGAGCTGGCTGACATCCCCCCGGTAGTGTCACGGGGAAAGTATTAACACCAGGGAAATGGGCAGCTGCTACAAATCAGGGCTTCTTTCCCCTAGAGACCAGGTTGTTAAATGTGTATCAACACACCACATGCATCCTATATATCTGGTGCTGTTCTAGGCTCCGGGAATAAGGAACAGCTGGAATGAGACAGACACAGCCCCTGCGTTCAAGGGGCTGCAGGCTAGTGGGGCAGAGGGAATGAAGACGTGAATTAATAAATGCCATGAAGACAATAACACGTGACAGGGATGGGGTTCCTCAAGCCCTCTCTAATGTGATAATGGAGCAGAGACCCGAACACAGAGAGGTCCACTTGGGAAGACAGAGAGGTGGAATAGTTTAGATTAAGAACCTGACTGCCAGGTTCAAATCTCAGCTCTGCTACTTAATGGCTGTGTGACTGTGAGCATTTAATCTCTTTGTGCCTCAGTTGTCCCATCTGTCAAATGGGGATGAAGACAACAGACCCACCTCACAGAGCTGTTGGATTAAATGTGTTAATATATGTAAAGTGCTTCGAATAACGCTTGACATGTGGAAAGTGCTCAATTATATACGCTGTGTATAACCTGAGGGAAGAGAATTCCAGGCAGAGGGAACAGCAAATGCAAAAGGCCTGAGGCCAGAACAAGTTCAGTGTGCTGGAGGCATGGCAGGGAGGCCATGGTGACCAGAGGGCACTCAAGGGGTGGAGGAAGAGAAGAGGTCAGGAGGGTCAGCATGAGCCAGGCCCTGCAGGTTTGTTGCTAAGAGCAGTGGGTAGGCCCTGCAGTGTTTTCAACAGGGAGGATACATGGTCTGATGAACATTCCAGAAAGTTCTCATGGGCAACTTTCAGCTGTCAAGGCAAAAGCAGGGAGGTCAGAGGTGAGGCCTCTGCGGGTATTCGGCAGAAGACGCTGGTCTTGATGAGGACGTGGCGGGGAGAGAGAGAGGCAGGCAGGTTTGGGACATGTTAGGTGCAGCTCTTAGGGGAAGGCAGAAGGGGTGAATGGGAGGAGAAGAGAAAGAGGAGAAGCTAAGTTGACTTCCTGTTGGGGGCTGAGCAGCCGGGTGGACATGGGTGGTCCTCTGGGTAGGGAAAGCGTGGGGCAGGGCAGGGTGGGCGGGGGAGTGCTCTGGGGAGGCCATATTCAGTGTGAGCCGCCAAGAAGGCCTCCCGCCACCCGCCCGCGGTTTCCTCCTGCTGTGCTGCTTGGATGGACTCATCTGTCCATTTATTCCAGAAGAGATTACTAAGCAGCATGGCCCAGCAGTTGGCAGCTGGGGCTCTGGGATCCGGCGAACCTGAATTTGCCACTCAGCTCCTCTGCAGAGGGGCTGGGGGACCCTGAGCAAGTGGCCTCGCCTCTCTAAGCATCGCTCCTCACCTGAAAAATGGGCTCAGACACCCTATGGGCTGCTGACGAGCCAAGCAGCTGAGGTGTGAGTCGCGGAGCACAGCCTGCCCGGTGGCGGAGCACTAACGGGGGGCAGCCGGGCCGGGCAGGCCTGGTGCTGGGCGCTGGGGGCGTGATGGTGGGTGGGCAGAACAACAGCCCCCAAAGACGGCCACATCCTAATCTGGAGCCCGCGAATATGTTTCTTTTCACGGCATAAGGGACTTTGCAGATGTGATTAAGGTAAGAATCTTGAGATGGGGAGATTATCCTGGGTTATCCACAGGGGTCTAACGTGATCGCCAGGGTCCTTAAAAGCGGAAGAGGGGCAGAACAGGAGGTCTGAGGTTGCTGGCCTCGAAGATGGAGAAGAGAGGCTAAGAGCCAAGGAAAGTGGTTGGCTTCTAGAAGCCAGAAAGGCAAGGAACTGGATTCTCCCCTAGGGCTTCCGGAAAAGAATGCAGCCCTGCTATCACCTTGACTTCAGCCCAGTGACACCCATTTAGGACTTCTGAAGTATGGAACCATATGATAATAAATTTATGTTGTCTTAAGCCACCAAGTTTCTGGTAATTTGTCAGTGGCCATAGAAAACTAATACACACAGTAAGCAAAGACAGGCCTGGATCTTGCCCTCACAGAGCATATGGTTCTAGCATGGGAGATGGGCATATGAGCAGGCCATTAAAACCCAGCGAGAGGGGCCAGCCTGGTGGTGTAGTGTTTAAGTTAGGTGCACTCTGCTCTGGTGGCCCGGGGTTCATGGGTTCGGATCCCGGGCAAGGACCTACACCCCTCGTCAGCCGTGCTGTGGCGGCAACCCACACACAAAGTAGAGGAAGACTGGCACAGATGTTAGCGCAGGGCCAATCTTCCTCAGCAAAAACAAACAAAAATACCCCACGGGATCAGAGCTATGCTGGCGGGCATGCAGGGGACCCTAGTCCAGGACGCCAGGAAGACACTGAGACAAGAAGACCAAGAAGGAGTTCGAAACAATAAAGAAGAGATGGAAGAGTTTTCCTGGCGGGGGGTGAACAGCCTGTGCAAAGGCCCAGGGGTGGGAGAGAGCTGCAGGGCTAGATCCTCCACCAACAGCAAAGCCCCGGGCTCGTGTTGAGGAAACAGCCAAGATACGACAAGATCTCTGCTCTTGTGGAGCTCACACAAGGTGGGGAAGACGGGCAATAAAACACAAACAAACAAACGTATAATATGACTCAGGTGGACATCCGTGCTTTATGGAGGAATAGCTCAGGTTAAGGGGACAGCGAGAGAGGCCAGGGCTCCATGAGCAAGGGCGGACAGGGAGGTGGAGACCAGACTCGAGTGAGAGAGAGGCCCTGTGGCTACCTGGGAAGCGGTTCCAGGCAGTGGGAACAGCAGTGCGAATTCTAGGACTGGAAGACATTTGGGGGACCTGTAAAGGTGCTGGGTGGGGCCTCCGGGTCTCACACGGTCAGCCTGCAAGGGTCTGGGGGAAGCAGACACGATGCCATGGAGGCCTAACCCGACACATATGTTCCCTCCCTCCCCCACGGTTCCTGCCCGGATCACTAGGGCATTCTACAACACCCTCCCTCAGTGACGGGGCTGACCCCTATCTGCTCCCAGTTCCAGTTTAAACAAGGCCCTCCCAGCACATACGACACGCCCAGTCCCTCTGCCACTGACTGTCACATTCAGAAGTGACAGCACAGCCTATCTCTGGATAGTGTGGTGGCCATGCAGCTGGGCACTGCAGCCAGGCTGTGCCCCTTTCTAGATGCCTGACTTTGGACAAGCTGCTGAAATCCTCCTGTGCCTCAGTTTCCTCGTCTGTAAAAGAGGAACAGTAGTGGTATCTACCTCATAGGGTTGGCATGAAGAAGCTAAGGCACTTAAAACAGCTCCTGGACCACTTCAAGTGCTACCTTTGTAAGAGCTAGCGATCGCTCTTTTAATTATCTCGTCCAATTCCCTCCTTGCTCAAGTGAGGAAACAGAAGCCCAGAGAGGCCCAGCCACTTGCTCAAGCTCACACAGCAACTGCTGAGCTCCGGTGGAGCCTCCGCCTGGAACCAGTCCCGTCTCGCGTCCAGCGCAACCTCCCTCCTCCAGCGCCCTCCCTCCGGCCGGCCTCCCCGGGGCCTCACCCGGATCGTGTCCACCAGGCTCTGCACCTTGGCCGGGTCCAGCACAGACGGCAGCGGCCGGATGAGCACGCTCAGAGGCACGTTGTGCACCGCGGCGATGCAGCCCGAGTGGATGCTGCCGCCCGGCGCGCCGC